AGAAACTGAACCACAGGAAGTTCCATCTGAACCTGAGAAAAACTTCTTCACTGTGAGAGTGACAGGGCACTGGAACAGGTTGCCCAGAGAGGTAGTGGAGTCTCCTTCGCTGGAGATCTTCAAAACCCGCCTGGACGTGATCCTGGGCAACATGCTCTAGGTGACCCTGCTTGAGCAGGGAGGTTGGACTAGATGATCTCCAGAGGTCCCTTCCAACCTAAACAACTCTGTGACTCTGTGAATATAGGAAGGATAAAGAAGAAACAACAACAAATAATAAATTTATGACAGGCTTCCAAGAGCTTTTGGAGTATGCTCTGATGCATTCACTGACAGTGCTGAAATCTCTCAAACAAGGCAGACATTAGTTATGTCCATAGTTAGCTGGCGACAGAGCGTATGAGAAAAGCAATGTTTAAATCCAGTCATCTTTGATTGCAACATCCTGAAGCACAAAACAAAAAAAACACAAAACAAAAAACACCCAGTGCAGAACAAGCATAAGGGCATAGGGAGAGGTGTGGAGTTCAAGGTGGAAGGAGGGAGGAGAAGTTTCTCCAAAACAAAAACTTATATGACATTTTATTTAAAAAAAACAAAAACACACACACACACACCCCCCCACACACACTATCCCAAGCAGCAACAATGGTAATATATAACATACATTTGGAAAGATTCTCCAAGAAGCGATCACAACAACTTTGAGAAAAGAACAGACTGGCAATTAGCCTACATCGTGCTCTGCACCTATAATTTTAGATAAGAACAGACTGATGCATCTGGCTAGAGTTTACTCTCAGACAGAAGAATACCGTAAGTGGAACATCTGCATGCATAGGCAAGCACCATGCTAACACCTCAGTAGTACAGAGGAACAGTCATTGCAAAGAGATTAATTAATACTGTAGCTAATCTCAGTCAAAATGCCATAATAAATTGCACATATCCATTCCATTTATATGCTAGAATAAATTCCAAATAAATAACCAAACAAGAATGAAAAAGCAAGAGCTAGCACACTTTCCCAGTTTGAGGTCCCTTCCTGTCACTGCAGTTTGAGGATGTTAACTGTATCCCAAACTAAGTTCAGTAGGCAAATACAACTTGCCATTAGGAAGCAGAGGAAGAATTTTTAAGGTTGATCTTGAGACAAGGAAGTTAAGCTCAGCTTTGTTTACTTTCTGCTACATCTTTCTAAGCTGTAAAGTGCATTTCTGTTTTGATTCTGTAAATAAATACTTGTTTTTAATCTTAAATCGGCATAAATTAAGCTCAATCTTAAGGTAATTGGCTCACAAAAGCATTCTACTCTTCCAGGCAGAGCAAACCTCTCAGTCACTCTGTCAGTCTAGAGGTCTCAATACCCAGAAAGAGTGCATGAAAAAGGGAATACACTTCCACTGAGCACTAAGGGCAAATGTAGACACTAACACTGCCAGGTTAGACATGCACAAAGCATCTTCTGACTACACATTAGCTAGAAAAGCTCCTTATCCTACAGCAATAACAGTCCCCGAAGACAAATGGTCAGCCCTTGAGGAAATAATGGCTTATGCTTTCTAAGAATTGGGCTAGACTGTAAAACACCAAGGAGGGAATCTCCCTTTGAAAATATGGCACTTAAACTCAAAAGTCTGGTCTCAGCGAGAGCCTGCTTGGTTGCATGCAAAGAACAGATTTTTCCAGACTTCCTTTCACAAAACAAACTTCCATGTCTAGCACTGGCATTTAAAGGAAGAAAACATAAAACTCAGAGCCAAGATGAGCCAACTCAAGAACCAAGTAAGAGGAGAACATTTCAAAACTCTGAAGGTTTCTTTGGTTCTAAATTTGCAACCAATATGAACTTACCAATATTTAAAAAAAAAAAAATAAAGCAAGAGGTATGCCACAGTTTATGACTATTTCAACCATCTGAACATTAGGGGATTGCAACTGTGCTAGCACCAATAGGAGACATTCATCATGGTCCAGATTTTAGTTTACTGGAGGTTTTATTGACAAGACGACTTTCCACACGTCTTCTAGAAGACTGCTTTGCAAATGGTAAAATTTTCTCATTTGTATGACAAGTAACTAGCAGGGATTTAGGCATATCATGCAGTTTTAGAGAAAATTGAAAATTAACATCTACAATGAATGCATTCTCCCTGTGCAATTAGACAATAATTACATGCTTGGCAGTAACATTCAGTAGGAAAAAAAAAGTTGAAAAATAAACATTAATAATCCGAGAAATGACCTGTCTATCTGTATGACTTCATCAGTAATAGCTCTGAGAGCTCCACTTTTTTGTGGCAATAAACAGACCAATTAACAGAATATCTTCACTAGGACACTTTCTAGGAAGGCCAAAAAACAGTTTCAGACTTCACTATAGGAAAAATAAGACAAGATGTATAGCCACAATTTTGAGCAAGACTTCTTGAAGAAACAAGTTTCTGAATAGATTCCACTTGTGCAGAATTCCCCATCTCACTACAAGCCACCAAAAATAAGTTTTGTGTGTATGCCAGAATTTGTTCATTATTGTCGATAACTTTATTGACCTAATCTAGAACATCGTAAGTACTTCTACAGAAGCTGCATTTCACAGCGTTAATTTCACAATTTGTTGGTAAGGATTCACACTGCAGGTCAAGAGAACCCTGAACACAGGACTATTCAAAATTGTTGTGTACTTCAGGAGAAAAGGAAAAAAAAAAAAAAAGGAAGAAACAGTTGACCTTTCTTAAATTAAAATAAAGAAACAAACCTCCCTGATTCCCAAAAGTTCACCTCCTTTTTTTCTGCCTAAATTCAACACCAGCCTTTCACCCCTCAAAATACTTCAAAAATAGTTCTGAATGAGTATGTATACGACTGAAATTATAGTTTTAAGATAAAATGAACATACAACAGTATATTTTCTGCATAAACTCCACATACAAAAGTGCATCTTTCTAACATGAAACATAACAATTACGTATGTTCCTTACCTGTTTTTTTCTTAGAAAGGCTGATAAAAGTGTATATCAAGCTCCCTCCCAGCTAGCATCAAAAGCTGGAAGTGCCTAGGTCCAGAGTCTCCCACATGCATTTAATTCTTGTCTCATCCTCTTCTACTGGAAATCTTTCATCATTACAGAGTCTGGACACCTCTAAAACTATAAAATATAAAAGAAATACCTGGGCCCCCCAACAGTGTCCTCTTCAAACAGATACCAGAGAGATGCTCACAGTTATGCCATCCCTATGCAGATAAATGTTGGTTAAACATGGAACTGTCATCCAACAGAGGAATCGTAAATACAACTTTACATTTTAAACAGTTTTGGGCTAGAGTAAGGTCTTGCAAAGCTTTAAAATAACAGAAACGAAGTTGCAAAATAAAAATCAGAAGGTCAAAAAGGCAAATTTCTTTGTGTGGCAAATGATTACATCACTTCAAGTAATGCATTTGAATACACATAAGGAATGTTCGGAATAAAAATTTTGGGACAGCATTCAACTCCCAAGCTAACCATTTTGGAAGACAGCCCATGTTAACATGCCTCAATTTAAAAGGCTATGCCTCTACCAGCTGTTAAAAGTACATTTGTGTTGGCCAGACTTAAGGAATAATTTATTCACAACATTCTATTCCGCATCAGGCTGCAAAAACCAATAAGAGTTTTGCAAGTCTCAGATTATGATACAAATCTGGATACAGGTTAGTTTCTCACATGTTTTGCCTTCATCATAAGTTGATAAGACAGGGTGTAAATGATAAGCTCTGTATCTCTGACCATGAGAAGTGTTAGAAACAGACAAATCTACATCAACAGGGATTTATCTGAAACTAAGTTGTTCAAACCAGTCATTTTATCAGTTAAATCTAATCTACTGGTTCTATTATTTATCAGAGGATACATGCAGGTGACTGACTTAGTCCAAATCCTAAAGAACATAAAGAGTTCTCCTTCCCTCAAGAGGGTCTCCTAATGGAACCTTATATGAGGCCAAAAGAACATCCACGCGTGGCATCTCAATAGGGCTTTTCCACAAAAAGAAGTCTGATTTCATCACTACACAAAGAATACTGAACTTGTGACATTTCTTCTGATACTGAGGTATATCTATTTTAAACATAGAAATAAGACTTCAAATATTAGAAGAGAATGAACAGCCTGCTTTAGGGAACACACCTGTATTACAGGATCCCAGCCAAGTTCACTGTCTGGAAAGAACTGGAGTCAGATCTGCAGCATTAGAAAAAGAACCAACATTGTCAGCTTTAAGAACCTAATCAGTTCAAGCTTTGTAGCTGTAGAAAAACTTTTTTAAAATCTTTTAGACAAATCATTCACTATAGAATTAATCCTCAAAATACTCGCTAACAATTTCACCTTCCTCAGAGTGTTACAGTACTACCCAGAACTGCTGTCCCTCCCTTTCCTGCCTTTGGCCATTACTGTCCCATCACCAGATCATATATAATAAAACCACTTGAGCAAATTTTTGTTGTATCAGAAAGTCTATGAAGTTTTTCCTATATTTTCTTTGCATCTATCTCATATATCCCATCTGAGTCATAACAAGCTTTTTTGCCATCAGCTTCTCACACACCAAATGTGTGACAAACATCCATAAGTCAGTAGCTCTGATGCCACGCGTTCAGCTTCTTTGAACAGATATTAAAGTAGTACTAGTTTGTTAGAAACTAGAACACACAACTGACCAAAAATAAGGTTAGAAGCTATGACATGCTTGCTATGACATGCTTTCTAAATCAAAGCTTAGAAGCATAATATCTTATTTTTTCTCCTGAGCACGCTAGCATCTTTGTTTTCTGGACTCCGGAATTTTCCTTTTCATTAAAATTCCTTAAATTATCTGCAAGAGCAATCAAAAGACCAGAAATTATTAATAGACTACTGCACAGCAAACAATGCAGATGTAACACTGGAATATTGGACGTTACACTAAATCATTTCAATTTCCCAAAAACGAGAGAAGCAAGACCATCTCCATCTGCTTAATGGTTTGTACAACAGGTCTTTCTAAACTCCTGAATATCTTCATATTTTTCAGCATTCCCACAGGTCTACAGCTCAGGAGAAGCATCCAAAGCAGCAAAAACAACAGAAAGTCAATTCACACTAACTGAGAAAGAACTGGCATTATAATCTCTTTCTTGGGGAGAGCGTATGCAGGACACTTACCTTAATGAGTGCACCAATGATCTGTCCAAATCAGGCAGAAAAGTGTCATCAATATGTTCCTGCAAAAAAACAATCCATATAGTTTTATAAGCAAGATTTAAAAGAATCATTTATGAAACAGATTTTCTTTCAGAGTGCGTTTAATAATGAAATGCGAGATGAACCACAGAAGATAGGTAATCCAAGCACGAAGAATAGTTATACGTGAAGACTACAATTCAAAGTGAAAGGTAAGAGTTTATTCCTAACTATTATTCTAACCTAACTTCTCAATTGCTTCCTTGAAAACGCACAGAATAACTTTTTACTGAGTTCTGTTCCCTTTTGTAATTCAAGGCAACCGCCAAAATTCTATCTTTGTCTGTGATCTTGATTTTATTATTAAAACATTGTTTAGACAATACAGATGTCAATACAGCACACTTAAGACTCACCCATGTACTCACTTGAGAGCATCCAAGCTGAAGAATGAGTAAAATATAGCACACAATTTAGCATCATGTATCTGATTTAAAAGATGTGTCTCTCTTTCTACAGATCATCATCTGATGGTCTTAAAACACTTCACTACTGAAATACAAACTCCTAATTAGCCTTAACAGTTGAAAAACCCCTCAGAGAGCTAATTCAAATGAGAGAGAGAGTATGCACATCATCATCAAGACCAGTTTCACGTTCCAAGATATGAGTACACGTTCTTAAAGCAAAGCTGTTCTCAGTTCATTAAGAAGTACGCTGCTTTTACTTGTGTCTATAAAAGAACCCGAATAAAACTTCCTTAGCCATGTCCCAAACAACCAAACGGAACAAAACCCCTCAGTCCTCAAGAGATGGTTCCTAAATGGCCCTAAGTTTTTCTCACCAATCGGTCGTGTTCCTGAAGCACCCAAGCCATCAGGAGAAGCTTGACTTTTACAGCATCCTAATCACCACTGTTATTTCATTTCTTCCTCAGAGCTCCCCTTTTTTCGGGCTTTTTTTTGTTGGTTTTTAAGGTTGCCCATCTTCCTCGTGGGGTACCTAATACCAAAGAGTTAGCCTGAGGTAACAGGAGAAAGTCACCTCATTTTTTACCACAAATAGCATGGTAATAGCACATTGTTGACCTTAGCAAGTTTACCTCATGAAGAGCCAAAGAATCTCCTCTATACTATGTTATTGACCTGGGCCAGCTCCTAATCCATCATTTGCCTTCACATAATTATGTAAGAAGCCAGTCACAAAATTAACCCCCAAAAGTAGTCAGAGCAACCTCTTGGTTATCTTGCAGCACTTGCTCTCTCTTCTGCCATACAACAAGCAAAGCTTATTTTATCCTTTCAGGTAAATAGTCTTGGAGCACCACAAACAGTGCTCATATTTCCACAGCAGATCTGGACTGATCAACCCCCAATAGCAAAGAGAAGACATCTTTCTCAAATTTATATCTTCACCTTGAACAATAGGCCATGACACAGAGCTAAGCTTAATTGCCAACAGATTTAGCATTTTCTGCAGAGAACACAGAAATTTACCCATGACATCAGAAGTTGTTACAGCCTGTGCCCAGAGATCTCATGAAAAAGCTAAAAGCATTCTGTACATCTGCCTCATGCTAATTTCTAGACATCCTTCAAACATGTAACTTTACAATAAAAGACTTCGGTCAAAATGGAAGTCCCATTCTCAAAGATGCCATACCAAACGAACTGCCTATTACTAATTTGGCCCCCACTGCATCACTGATACACCCTACAAAGTGTGCAAACCAGCAAGTATGATATACTTGTCCTACGAGTTGGATATATTAGTACTGACAAATAAAAGCTGAAGTCACATAGGAACCCACTGCAGATACAGTAATTGCTATACCCAGAAGAAAAGGAATTTAAGTCAAAGTAAGTGCTTCATATACTGAAGAACTTTGTGCAATTACAGAAACTAAGTAGGGGAACCAAGAAGGGCCAAGGACAAAAACCATACTAAGATACAAAAGCCGCAAGGAATAAGGGGAACAGGAGGTAAGAGCAACAAAAGAAAGAGGTACTGGACATCCTAACTGCTTCCTCTTGTCCCCCTAAGCTTCAATTAGGCCAAATACAGCCATTACCTAACGGCAGAGTACCTCTATGTGGTTTTAGAAGCACATGATGTTCACAAGACAGGATAGCTTTAGCTTTAATTTTAATAAGCCACAGTTTGAAACAGTTACTTACCTATACAAGGAAACCTCTAGCCACTACATCCATAAGGAGAGGAAGGAAAAAAAAACCCTCAAACAAACAAACAAAAAAAGCATTAAGAACTACCACACTACACTCCACAGCAGCTGGAAGCAAAACCCCAACGTTCTTCCCAGTTACTCTGACATACAAACCAATTCCCTTCACATCTTTTCTAGATGAACATTATTACTGCTTGCATAGAACTTCTGCAGCTTGCTGTTGACCCTGCAGAATAACCTTCAACTCTTGCCTAAAAATTGTGCATTCTGTGTGCATTTCAGTCTCCTAATTTAAACAGCATCCTGAGTCTCTATCCCTTCAGCACTTCCAAAAAAGTTGCACTTTCTCAGGAGGGAATGAAAGAAAGGGGAAAAAATAATAAAAAAAACCCACCACGCTCCATGATTACATATCTCAAGGAAGGTAAATTTAGCCTCACTTCTTACTATGCAAGTATGCTAGGCAGCAGTGTTTGAACAGGAGATGAAGTCACGTGCACAGACCTTTCCTTGGCCTTTTAATAGCTTCCACATACACAACACCACCCAACCTCACTTGCGTATGTGGGTAAGTAGGGAGAACACGCTCTTCAGAGCCACTGGGTGTGCAACTTGCATGAAACAGTACATTGCTGCTATTCCTGAGGAACTCTCTCAACACAGAGAGCACCAAGTGAGAAGACTTTGTACTAGACATGTACAAGTCTAACACAGGCATTCAAACACAAAGACCATATCTACACTTGAAGGATGACCTTGTAAGTAACAAACAAAAGCACAGAAGCCTGATCTCTTTATGTTCCAGCATTGCAGGCAGGCAGCCTGTGAGCAGGCTGCCCAAGCGTGCCTGGTGATCTAAGCCACTTACTAGAGTACCAGATCACAGTGCACAGGCTTAGGCATGTGGATTCCCATGTGTTTGGGCACCTTCCTACTACATATAGTTGCTGGTTCATTGTCAGCATGAACAGAACATGCTGCAGAGAGCAGCCTCACAGTCCCTGCACGCCTCTGCAGTCATGTCCAAACCATCTGACCCTCTCTCCTTTTGCTCTTCTCTGCTATGCTGTATTTCACACAAGTGACCTAGAACCACAAAAAAATCTCAGCAACAGATCATAAAATCATTAGAGTCTAAAGTGTGCTTTTAGCTGTCACCTTCTCTTTTCCAGCACCCTTTAAGCATGCATTTCACCCATAGCTAAAAACACCTGTATGTCAAAAGATGGGAGTTATTCTTTACCTACCAACAACTGACAAGCAAGAGGTTTGCTTTACTACCAGAACCACACACAGTAACAATATCCTGCCCTCCCAAAGCGTTGATAAGTTTGAGATAACTGTTGCGAGGCAGCAGAGGGGTCAGGTACCTTCCAATACTGGACAAAACAACATCAGCATTGCTTTTGAGTCCACTTTTTTTTTTTTCTTTTGCATTCAACCTCATCCATACCCAGAAAGTCAAAGCCCTTTAAATTAATAAAACTAACAAAGAATAACAGATATTAATTGACTCATTTGCTTGAGGAGAGAGGTTAATGTAATAACTATTGAAGCAATTTAAAACTTGCAGAATAGAGATATAACTGGATGTGGGAAGCGTGAATCCAACAACAAGAAAACATAGCTAAAAGTCCCTGTAACCCATCATCCTCATAAAGCAATTCTAGGGTATGCAATCAAAACTCTGGACACAAAAATCCATTTTCAGAAACACCTCATTACCTCGTAATTATGATGTGGTAACACAGAGTATAATACAATGTCTACAGCACATTCATGCCAAGTATTACACAACACCTTGCTGAGAACATGATGTTCCCTTTTAACAGAGGCCAACTATAGCAAGCCTTTATAAAACACTACAGCTGATCTAGACTAGTGATAATTTACTTGTTCTGCTGGCTAGTGATAATCTACCCGCTTTTCTACAACACCACACCACCTATACCTTGTCCCACAAAACCTTGCTTCTGTGGCCATACTTAAAGAGGTTAAAAAAAGCTTTTCTGCAGTAAAACAACTTTTAATAGTGTAAAGGTGTTAAAGAAATAAGGGTGTGGCAAGAACGCAGGAAAAATAAAACTGGTTTAATTACCAGTCTGTATCAGTCTGGGACTAAATCAAACACTTCCCGGTCATAATAAAGTCCAAGGTGGAAGAAAAACTCAGAACTTTGCTTCCAAGCAGTTTCCCCATTTCACTATATTCTCATACCTTGACTAAACCCCATCAAAATCTCAACTTAAAAAAAAGTGTGATTCTTCCCAGCGGAAATTTATTACTATAATGTATTGTTCGGGGACAGGATCAAATAAGCTTATGTAACAACCTCAGCTTATCCAATATTTTAGTCTCCATTACTGAAAAGACATGCTGAAAACAAAGGTATCATGCTAAGAGTTACCATAATATGTTCTGTCTTCATACTTCTCTGAAAACACAAAGGGGAGAAAAGTAAGCTCTAAAAATAAAGTAGACCACTTAAATTTTCACAGACAGCATTCATGTGTTAAAACAAATATAAAAAGTCTATAACAAGTGCTAGTAATTGACAAAAAAAAAAAAACCCACACAGCAAAACCACGTAGTCTTTAGTTCATAAGTGAAACTCAAAAACCCGCTGAATCCAAAGAAAGTATAGAAAAACTGAAATCCTGCTTCCAAGCCTCAACATCTCGTACCTATGGATTAGGTCAAGTTAAACTACACTTTACTTCTCCGCAGCGCAAGATAGGCCGTGTTCTTTCTCAACGTTAAGCCGTGGAAGTGATCAAGCAAAAATGGAATTTATTTCAAGTTCAACGGAAAAGCAGGTTTAAAAAACAAAACAAAAATGAAATAAACAAGCAAAAAAACCCTCACATTAAGTGACCACGTGATTGAATATTAAGCATACTGTCAAAGGAGCAAACGTCAAGTTAAGAAGCAAAGCAATGCATCACATTAATGACCCATCTAGCCCAGTATTCTGCCTTCAGGAACGGGGAAAGGAGATGCAATATAGGGAAAGGAGCCTGGCCAGTTGCTACACTCTATTCCCCTTATATTCCCCCAGCAGCCACAGTTGTTACATTAGAGATGTTATGGGGTACATCCCTGCCTACTCCCTTTAGTGCCCGTTTACTGTAGTCCATAAACTTGTCTATTCTCTTTTCGAACCTGCTGGTATCATCTGGCTCCATACACTCCTGTGACAATAAGCTCTAGCAGTTCACCACCTGCTGTGTGAAGTAGTACTTCCTTCTATCCATTTCATGCAGTACTTAGTTAAACTGAGCGCCCTTAGTTCTAATACTGCTGAATTGGGTGAACGACAGTTTTTGCAACTCAGCTTAAAAACTGCCTTTGTGACTTTTGTAAATCTCAGTCACGTACATCCTCAGCCGTCTCCTCTCAAAATACCTTTTCAATTTCTTCTCGCATGGCTTCAACCGTTGATCATTTTAGTTGCCCTTCTCTAACTTCCCTATGGTCAGATCCAAAGCATTCTCCCTTCTACCTTGAAGTAGACACTTGCATGAAATAGTCAAAAAAAAAAAAAAAAAAAGAGACAGAAACATGACTTTTTTTTTCTTTCACTCTGGGCCAAAGGCTCCATCTTTTGCATTATCTCTTTCTAGGAGGATAAACTGCCTCCCTCAGTCCAGCAACAGTCAAGAACAAGAACCCCACACCTCAGGACAGTGTCATAACCACCAGGCTAACAGCAAACCTTGGATGAATGGAGGACACTGTCCAGTTCTCCAGTAAAATGTCCTCACTGCGCAGAAATAGTACCAGTTTCTGCAAGAACAGGCAAAAAAAGATCACAAGAGCATGCAAACACACACAAACAGAAGCAAGATGGAAGTTGATGTCACAGAGCAATAATGTGGGCCCTTCTCCCTGACCTGAGTCAAATTCTGGGCCCTACTCTTTGTATTCAAGAGCCACTCCATAAAGTGTACAAACAGCACTATGCCCAAGGCATAGTGGACACGGATCACAGACGCATACAGACACTGAGGCACCCTAGAAGATGACAGAAGATGAGTTTCATCAAAGTCAATGCCCAAAAGCCATCTAATACAAAATAGTATCGGTTTCTGGACTAGGGCGACAGGATCAAATCCTCAGTTGCCATGAGTCTGAGGTGCTTCAGTTTTATCATCACCACTACATATTCCAAACTAACTATTTGCATTTAAGTAGATATGCCTCACTGCTACCTTAGCGGTTCCTTTTGGATATTACTTTGGCAACAAGCAAAAGCCAGCTCCAAAAGGTATCTGTAGTTTTGAGAAATGTTAACTAACTTCTGTCATCCATAAACAATCTCTGTGCTTAAAACAATACTGGCAATTTGAAACAGCTTCTCACTGTACTAAAGCAGTTTCTGGTACTACTCTTGACTTGACCAGACAACTTTACTGCCAGAGTCATTACAAGATTTCCACCATTTCCCCATTATTCATAAATATTTTTAAATGGTAGATATTCAGCAAGTCAGATGTACAAGATCGCAAACCTCAGAGTCTTATAAAAAAGAAAAAAAAAGGCAGGCATCTCATAGCCTTAAAAAAACCAACACATTTCTTCAAAATCCATCCTATGCGCTGTATCAGACAAGTTATTGGGAATCACAGGAATACAGTTTCAAAGGCCTTCAGTTTCCAAGTACCAAAGACCTCATAATGACCTCTTTGGGGGGCTTTTTAAGCTCTTGGGGCAAGAAGAATAATGATGCACCCCATCCTAACCCATCACAAAGTCAGTTGAGTAGCGTCAGCTTGACAGTTATCATACAGCTCATCTGTTTGCATGAAACTGTACTTACATAAACTGTTTTGCAATCATGCATGTAATAGCATGCAACTAATGTCAACAGTAGCAAACCACACGGTCTCAAGGAACAAAGTCTGCTTGCAGGTATTATAGGGAACATTTGGAGGAAAAAAAAAAAAAAAAGCCAACCACATACACACGGTACCAGTTGCTTATTCCATACGTTTCAAGAGCACACTCCGTTTCTGCTACTGCCGTATAGCTCCTCAGGTAGGGGGGGAAAAAATAAACAAAAGACCACCGAGGCAACTGCACAGGGCGCTGCTTCGTCGAGAGGCAAGCGACGGAGTGCCGAGGGGCGGCGAACGCCCACCGGGCCGAGC